ATGGGCTGGGTATGTCAGAGTCGATGGAACGGTTTACACTTTTTTGGGAAATCCTGGTGTCGAAGGCTCGAGACGAGCCAACCAGACGAGTGCAACAGCAAGTTTCTCGGTTATTAAATCGCCTTTCTTCGTCCTAATACTCGTTGGACATTATAGTTTACGGCGACTCAAAGCATCTTTACTCTTAAAGCCGGCGGTATCGACCTGACAGCTACATTCCTGAGTCCAGTAGAGGTGAGAATCGACGCGTATCACCTTATAACAATAAGCTAAAGAGCCATTGCTACAGCCGACAGACCTCCTCAAGCACTCCATCCCATTTTCATACCTATCCCTCTCTGCCGTCTCGAACGACGGAGCTTCCCATTCTGTCCAAGTATACACGGACATCAGTGCGGAATGGGTATCGGGTGACAACGGTTTGCTCGTCAATTGGTCCACCAAAGTTGAGGATCCGACCGCTGGAATCATAACCCACCAAGTACAGCTAGCCAACGAGGAGACATTCAAAGAGATTGGTGATCACATTCAACGTGAGACTAATCTCATCCGTTTAGCGAACATATCCATACTGATGGTTCTCCTCTAGACGGTTCCGCATACTACTCTATCGCATCCGTACGTCTCATCTTCTCCCTCTTCCCATCTACTCACACCCCTCACAGACACAAGGAACGACTTACCAAACAGGAGCAGACACCGACGTCCGCGCCCAATTCATTCAACACGGCGTACTCCTCAACACCACCGACTCGGAATTCCGCGCCGTCCAAGACCGCTGGCCCATATTCGCATACGCAAAGGACTTGGGTGACGTTGGTAGTGGAGGTGTACAGAATGCGGTGGTGTTTAGTGTAGGGCATGTGAGAGATCCAGCGATTCAGTATATCGTGGAGGGGGGTGGGTTGCAAGAGAGGGGTGTTTATTTTTGGGGTTCGTTCGCAACCGTAGACAACGTGGTCAGTGCACCTCCCCTTGTATCGTAATTGATATTTGGCTGACTTGTTCCTCAGATCGCCAGTTTCCATTCCGACTTTACGGATGCACTCGGCCGTGCTAATACGTTTGATGCCAAAGTCAAATCTGATGCTTTATCTGTATCGGAACACTATGCCGGTATCGCGGCACTCTCTGTTCGGCAGGCGTTCGCAGCGACGGAAATCACCATTTCCAGAGGTGCGGGTGGGAGCTGGAACACGAGCGACATTCTCATATTCATGAAGGGTGTGTGCTGTGTGCTATACTTGCAAACGACTACTGACCTTTTATATAGAAATATCGAGTAACGGGGTATGGGGTTCTTGTCGTCACTCGATTGTCGCTAACACTTTTGCACTAGAATATGAACACTGTCGACGTCATCTTCCCCGCTTGGCCATTGTACCTATACACCAATCCCACTCTCGGAAAGTACCTCCTGGAACCCTCGTTCCGCTATCAAGCCACCGGGCTGTACCCCAACAAGTTTAGCGTCCATGACCTCGGTCAGTGCCTCTTTATAAATCTCAAACTCGAAGC